AATAAAATATGTATTCCGGTATAATTTTAATTGCACCCTCACATACCCAAACGAAATTCAATATATCCTCACCTATATAAATTTACGGGCGAAAGAAAAACGATATAATGGAAACCACTCATATTGAAAGAACATTTGAGTTTTGGTTTTGAAATGGTTATATATTGTTTATATCTGACAGCGGACGCTGAAAATTTCATTCCACTATGTATATATGCAATATAATATGTAGTGAAGCGTAAGGAATCAAAAACTTAATTTCGATATTGTTGACGATACGTAGTTTTGCATTTTAGGCGACGATATACATATATGCATGTGTATGTTACATAAGTAGAACGTTTCGCGACAATAGTGAAATATTTTTTATCGCAAAATATTATGCTGGGGTATCGGCTCCATAAACGTAAGGAAGAAAAGTTGGAAGATACTATTCTCGTAGTTTTCAAAAGAATGTGAAGAAAAATTTTATGACTCAAACATTTATTAAAAATATGTGAACTGGTTGTAACTTCAGTGTATACGACCTCTGCTATATTGGTAAGCTTTCACCGTATCCAAATAAAAACTATAGTTTCTCCTATTTTAGTGTGACATTAACTCTAAAGTCATAGTCATTGTTTTTTTTTCTGTTTTTTTGGAAATTTAATTTTTTTATGAAAAAGTCCAAACATTCCTTGAAAAAATTTATAAACCTTTTACTTCAAGGAGAATTCAAAATTTTGGAAACTGTTTTGTCTAAAAATTTAATTGGAAATATTTCGAAAATCGATAACATTATAGTTAGCTTGTACTCTGTACTGCACCGTAAGAGCTATTTGCCCAGAATTTAACCGAATCTTCGGCCAATAAGCAACTTATAAAAAACTATATAGTATTAAGAAATGTCAATATATGTATATTTTTTACCTATTTAAAAAAGCGCCCGTCATAACTCAAAATAGGCGAAACTTGAATATTAAAACCTTGATTAAATAGATCCAGATTCCATATCCTGCATGTATATGCCTTGCTTGGTTTAGCAGTTGTCCAACTAAATTTGTTGTGTTTTCAACTATTTTTCCACTCGCATCATTTTAGTATGAGTTTGTGCCTTTAAGTATCAGTTATTTATTTGCTAGCCAATAATATTTATATGCGCATACATATCAATTATACACTTTCGGCAACACATCCCCTACATATTAATAAAATATGTTATGTATAGTTAGTTACATATACATAAAGTATTTTTTGAATGCATATCTCTATATAATTACAACATTACGCCACTTATAACTAACAGATTAAATTTGCTGCTAACCATTCATCTTCTGGCAACTGAAAAACAAATAGAGAAATTAAAATAAATAACAGTATGCGCTTAATGTATAAATATATTGCAAATATTTTTAAATTTATTGATTTGCGAACGTTAGTAAAATTCTGTTTATAGTAGGGAGCTTTTAAATATATTTACATGTGTACATATCCTTGGCCCTGATCTCCAATGAATATGTTTTTGAATTATCTGTTTTTAAATTTTCATATTGAATTGGTCACTTACATTATATGAATGGTTATTTCGCAAAAGGGAAGGAGCTTTCACATTACCATACTACCTTAAGACATCGTTAAAAATGTTGCAGAAGTTTTTTCGGAAGTGTTTTTTTTAATAACATACATATTTGTAAGGTGCAGAGCAGTCTAATAACCACCTTTTTTAAAAGTAATAACATTGAAAACGTTAATTAATTTGTGCCTAAAAGTCGAGACTTTTAGATCGATTCAACCAATTTGTGTAACCTTTGCGCTTCTTGTACCCAAAAGATCTGTAAGCGCCGTCATATTTTAGTATAATTGCGACTGAGTTTTTGATGAAACAGAGAGTCATCGCTTAGCCACCGTATTCGACAAATTTCTGTCACTGTGATATTTTGTTTAGGATATTAAAAAAATATACTTTGGAAAACCCGCAATGAGTTAGTTGGCCTAATATTGAAAAATCGCCAAACAAACTGTTCTCGTCAGGCGTTCAGAGGTTCGCTGCGCTGTGCATATAAAGAGCTCTAAGAATAGCACCAACTGCGGCTCTAGAGCTGGTGGTAAACCTGTCTCCCTTAGACCTCTTCGCTGAAAATTGCACAGCAAAATCGGCGAGACGACGATTGGCTGCAGAAAGAATCTTCGGGCATAACTTGGTGGGTAATGGTTGTTGGTCTAACACCGACTACATGACCCCACTTTTCAACAGCGAATGAAGGCTCCTCCAACCTCTAAACATTTATGCGGATAGCTCGAAAACGGACGATGGAGTTGGTGCGAGGGTATACTGTCCAGAGTTAGGCATAAGCCAACCTAAGTTTTCGGAGTGACTGCGGAATATTTTAAGCTGAACTCTTTGATATTGCGAAACCTCCTCACACGCATATCCAGCCGAATCCAGAGCCAATATCTATATAGACAGCCAAAAAGCAATCAAAGCAGTAACCTCCTATCGCATATAAGCCAGAAATGCCTTGAAAAGCAGGGAAGCAGAAAGAAGAAAAGTGTTGACAGAAGTAATCAACTTCACTTCTACTGGGTGCCAGGCCACAAAGGCACCGTGGCCACTAAAATACTGGACGAGATTGCCAAGATTGGTGTACGGCTAACTGCCGAAATCGTGATCAACATTGGGAAACCTATATATTATCCATACGACGATCTTAACAGAAGCATTTTAATGAGAACGAGCTACTGAAAAAGTCATATGAAAAACGGTAGATCGGGAGTAAACACAACTCCTTTTGGCATTTGATAGAATGGTCACTGTCTGGTGGCGACATACGCCCACAGGATGGGACTGAAAGGTCGAGAAGACTACAGGAAATATGCATGGCAGGACACCAGTAGCCACGGCAATATACACCGGAGAAGGTAGAGATAGTAAGCAGAGTTTGTTAAAATTCGCATCAAGCGCAGGCATCCTAAAGGATTACTATTTCTCTTGGACATAGCAACTAAACTCTGTCTGGTATCGCATAGGACCAAACAGGCGTATGTGTGGCTTATTGCCCTACCAAAATGACCTAACCTAATCAATATACTTCAAGCTCAATGAACGACGCTTCAATTTCCGAAAAAATTGCTTATGTCAGAGTTTTGCTATTACTCTGAGTTTATTGACATGAATATTTCAGGATCTTGTAAAAGCAAAATGGTTTCACTATTAAAATTTTTCATTTATTGAGGGCTTTTTATTTTTAATAAAATAACTGCAAGCTCTAACTCTTACAATTAATGTACACGTGTATTCAAAATTGTAGGTCAGGACATCTGCGCTGTAACGTTATATGATTCACTTGAAAACTCTAAATAAACGAAAAAAATTGGAATTGACCAAATGAAACAAGTTTACAAATATATTTTAGTAAGAGGTGGAAAGCAAAATAATCAAAAAAAAAGTAATTTTTGGTAGCAAAGCTATAATTGTTTCAAGGGTGACTAAAGTTAAAGGGTTGGAGCTGGTGGCTGCTAGTTGATTAGTTGTTAATTCGGGTTTCAATTGCTCAAAAAGTAAGCGTATATAACAAAGAATTTTGAGCAGTTGTATTACTAGGGAACATAAGCAGGTGCAAAATACGCATATAGTTAGGTGTAAAAGAATTTTTAAAATCTTAGATGGAATAAGAAGCTGATTTGTATGCTATACTATAAACAGTTGCTGAAAATGGTATGTTTGATTTCGATTTTGAACATTCGAAGATGGAGTGGATGTTACTTGTAGTTTGAATAATTTGTATTAATATCTATTGAGTTATACGAGTATTAATATTACTTATTTTTTTTATTTTTAAATCAAGAGTATGTGAAGTTTTTAAAGGAGTTGCATTTATCTATGAAACAACATGAGGGAATTTGTTATTTATTTTCGACCATGGTAATAGAGATTATTTAGAAGCATATACTTTTTTGTATTGTCAAACATAAGGGTTCTGCTAATTGTTTGGGTAACGAGTGCTAGAAAAATACAAAAAACAACTTCTCAGGCGAAAGCTTTGTGCTATGATTAGCTGTGGACGTGAACTTTGTGAAAGCTTTAGAAAAAAGATGAGGCTTTTCTCAATGATAAGATTTTTTCTCTACCCAGCGTACTTGCTATATCAATCTTACCTAACCTCAACATATTTCTCTGTAATTATTCGCTTTCACTCAACTACTTTATACATTTTACGAAAAATTTAGCCTAGATATCCTAACACAACAAGTCGTTATCTCGCATAACTCTTCTCAAAGTGTCCTTGATGCGAGGCAAATCAATTACATTCGTAATTACTGCGCCTGTGTGTGTGTGTGTGTGTAGAATCCAAATATGCATATGCCATTAAGTACTTGAAAAGGGTACATTCCAGCTTTGATTACAAAGTAAATCGCTACGAGTATTTCGTGAATTGCTTAGATAATTCAACAATGCAGCAGTTGATGTGAGGAGCTAACTCATATACCACTGTCTGTCTGTTTCTACACATAATCAATTGGCAGCAATTAATTAGGAAATGTATTATTGAGTTCGCCACATCAATGATGATTTCACTACCGCTCTCCCTCTCTTCTATACCCGCGCTGCATAGCGTTCAAGGTTAGAATTACCGACAGAATTGGTAGGAAAAAACGGGTATTTTCTGTATGCCGCATATAACTGATTGAATGTTGGTGGGTTTTTCAGTGGCTAACATAATACAGTGGATAAAAAAAAAATATATATATATAGCAATTTATAAATAAATAAATAAAATGCAATTTTTAAAGTTACTTATATGTGTCACTTAGAATATAATTGTATCTTTGTGTGGGTGTGTGTATTAAGTTCACTTGGCAAGTAAATTGTAAAAATATTAGACTTTAGTACTCTGTGCAGTGCTATGGAATTTAAATAAATATTTTTTTATTTACTAAAGTTTTAATCTATTAGAGTTTAGCTTCGAAAATAGCTTTGAATGAAAGCTTATAAATGTAAATAGCTTTCAGTGAAAATACCTCATATCAGCAGATTTTAGTGGAAGCTTTTGAAATTTTCAGCCTTTGATGAAAGCTTTTTAAATCTATGCTTTTATATAAAGGTTTTGAAATAATAATCTTTTATGAAAGTTTTGTATAAGTTTTCAGTGAAAATGCTTGAAATCAGCAGATCTTAGTGTATGCTTTCAAAGTTATGAGCTGCTTATGAAAGCTTTAGAAATACAGAGCTTTTAAAATTTCAGACTTTAATGAAAGCTTTTCCCAACCTATGCTTCTAGATGAAGCGTTTGACACAATAAGCTTTTGTGAAAGTTTTGTATGAGCTTTCAGTGAAAACAATTCAAATCAGCAGCTTTTGGTGAAAGATTTCGAAGTTATGAACTTTTTATGAAAGCTTTAGATATTCCGGGCTTTTAAGGAAAGTTTTTAAATCATGAGCTTTTAGTTAAAGCTTTTGAAATCTCTATAAAAGCTTTGAAATCAGTAGCATCTTTAAATTTATGAAAATATTTTATCATAACTTTGGTATAGGTTCAAGCAGAAATCAAAAATATTTTAAATTAATTTCTGTTTCAATATTCTCGCTTTTTGCAGAAAGCAATCACTGTATTTGTTTTAGTTATTTTATAATTAGTAGACAAATTCAACTACTAAACTTGTTTTTAGGTAAAATTTTTTTTTTTTTTTGTTTTCTTTATTTCGATATTAGTCATACAGGCACTAGTGCAATATTCGTTTTAGATTACGTTAGATTACGAATGGTATTTTCCTTGTTATATTTATATGTAGTATTAGTGTATTTTTTAGGATTGCTGTATACCAATGTGGACCTGTGCTTTTTTCCTAGGGTGTAAGCACACAATAGCTAATCGGAAACAATAAGTATAAAGGTATGTATGTGCTAGAGTCCTTGCAAGCGAAACGCAAAAAAAAAAACACTTTCTGGAAAAGTCATCGAAACGTTTGCGCTTAGTATTGATGCAGTCTTAATTTATTTATAGGGCATATGTGTATGTATGAGTATGACAACTATGGCTATGCTTTGGCTTAGACACATATTATGTATAACTGTATGTATGCGTGCAAATTTATATGTGTGTGCAGCGCCTAAAGATAGACTTCATAAGTTTGTATGTCAGCTAGTTTCAGTGCAAGTGTGTTGCGTGCATGACATATGTGTTTGCGTGTGGGTGTGTATATGTGTGTTCTGCGTCTTTGGTTGTAAGCAAAAATCGCTAATTACATATACATAATCACTTTTCATTACACATACACCACATTGCAATATTCCTATTAAAAATGCACTTAAGCGCGCATAAGCTCTCATTGACTTCGATGCTGTGGTGGTGGTGGTGGTGATGGTGCTGGTGATGGTGGTGAGAAAAATTTGTAAACCAATGAAGTCCACATCATCCTCAATGTTTTCGGCATCAATTTATTCTCTCCGTTAAATTGCACATGTGTTTCTGTGCGCATGTGATTTTGTCACCTTTCTTTAACATCTTATTACTTTTGGCCGCCATTCGTTATGTTTTTACCATGTGCTGCTAATTTTAATTACGTACACATATCTATTTTGGTTTTACAAATACTATTACAATTAGTTCATTTTATTTTATTTTCTTTTTTCTTTCTCTTCTTCTTCTTTCACGCTGTTTTTTATTGCACATATTCGCCGCCTTTTTATTTGTTATTTTTCTATACATACATATGTTTGTTTATGTGTTTGTTAGTATTCTAATTATAGTTTTTTCCACTACATTTTGCTTTCATTTTGTTGCAGCAAAGTAATCGCTATTCATATAATTACTAGATTACAATATTTCGTTTTCAACTTTCTGTGCAAAATTTGCATTTACGGTGTTCACTAAACTCACTACTTTTCCACTGTGCTTTGTGTTGCTTAATATATATTTACACATTTAGTAATTTTTTATTTATTTTTATTTTATATTTTGTATTTTCTTTTCATTTTGTCAAAACTACCGCTATATATATATTTATTTCTTCTTTCATTTTTTCTTGATAATGCTTACAGTCATCTATAACAATCTGCCTTAAGCTATTTATGTAGTTTATAATGTCTTTTATGCTATCTTAAATGTGGGTTTACTGTGCCTGCAAAAGTAAAGGATAAACCTTAAAAAATAATATGAGGTGTTAGTAAAAATTGGAAATAGTAGTAGGAAAAAATTTTAGTAAAATTTTAATGAATAAAATGTCGATAAAAAAGGGTGAAAATGCATATAAAAAGAGTTATTTATATGGAACAATATACAAATGTATGAGTGGTAGTAAAGTATTTAAAATTGGAATAAACAAACAGGCAAGTGCAACATATTTGCATATACATGTATTAATATACTATAAAGTTTTAAAAATTGAAAGTAAGCGAAATATTGTAAAAAACCATTACCATATTTTATTTATAAAAAATTTTCAATATTCTAAATATTGCCATACAATTTGATGGATGCTGGATTTAATAAAACATTTTGCATTAAAACGTGCAAAAGGATGAAAATATATGAAAGGCATGCCAAACAAACTGCACAGAGCAAAAATGTTCTTTTACGTCCTTAAAGCTTTCAGTTGTGTATAACTGATAAATAAAGCTGTCTATATTTATGTTTAATAAAAAATTGTACTTTATTTCAATTCCACACGTTTGCTTTCAGTTTTAACATAAACTCATGTCTAAGTGCAAGCGCAAGTAGCACTGTTCTAATATAAGCTAAAATTAAAAACCACTAAAATATGCTATTCCCTTAATCGACTTTGACGTTATACCCTACATTTACAAATTAGAAAAACAATTAAATTCAAAACTTTTCACCTGTCATTTGTACCAAATTATAAAACAAAATTAAATCTAGTCATTTACAGTCATTTTACTGGACTACGCTAAAGGGTTGCATGGTTTTAAGAATTTCAAAAAATCGAATTTTTTACTACTTTATTAAATATCTCTAAAATATTGACCTAAATTTACAAGTTGATCCGAGTAATAGCTTCAGAGATACAGCCTTTAGAACTTGTTCGTTCGAAGCTAGCTAGGCTAAGTGCATCATCGTTAAACGCGTTTTTCTCAAAACTGTGAGTGTTTTTGAACTCGGTTTGCAAATTTCTAAAGAACTATTCAACTGATCTTCATGTAATTGTATATAGGCTTTTGTGATACTAAATCCTTCTTTCAAAGATTTTTCCGTTTCGATTAAAACTATATGAAAAAAAATCTATCGCGAAATTTTCAATGAAATTTTAATTTTTTGTAATGTCTGACAAAAATCCAACTTTCAGTTTTTTTTTCCTCCGGGTTCTAGGTTAAGGTTTGGACTAAAACACGTTTTTTTCCTTTCAGATGATCCTATAAGGAGTCATCCTGTAACAATAATAAGTTCTAATAAAATATTTATTTTTTTTTTATAAGAAAAGCGGTTAAGGCCTTAAGACATTGTGGGCGTTGAAAGCAATCGTCTACACAGAATACTGTCATTTCTTGAGCAAAGTTTCATGCTTTTGGCAAATAGTGCTAACCGCTTGTTTTTCTGTTTGGGATTGGATAAGTATTGTGCATATGCTGGCGACTCAATATTTTTTCCGCATTTTTCAGAGGAAGCGTTCTCCAGGTATGTTGGAGTAGCTGAATCAAATATTTTGCTGGCGTTAAAAGTTTTTTTTGGATATGTTGGCTTTCATGAAAGTCTCTATTGGATTTGCGAATGGAGTGAGGGATTATTTCTATAAAGTAACTATATGTTTTTTGTATTGTTTCCAATGGGTACGGAGTCTGCAACTGATATGGCAATGGGTTTCAAAGAGGAATTTAATAGCATAAATAGTATCACTTTTAGTTGCAATGGGAATGGTGCAATTAACTAGCTTTTCATTCACGTAGAAACGTGAGCAAAATATAGTAAGACTTTTTAATATACATTTTGCCTGATTTTTTTTCGGTTGTCAATGATATATGCGCCAAAAGTCACATCAAATCAGGGGAATGACATAGACTCTGAAGAATAAATTAAGAATTCTAAAATTATAAAAAAAGTCTTACAATGTAATCTCATAATAGTATACAGTTTTTGAAAACTAACAGATCACCTATTCACGAATGTTCAAACCGTATGTAAACACTTTGCAGTTTGCAGTTTTTATAGCCCATTTGGGACTTTTAGGATGTTTCGTTGGATACTGCTTAAGAACATTTCTTATGCTGGCAACAATTTTTCAGCAAAAAATTTCATGGCGTGATGTGGCACTTTCAAAAGTTCAAAAAAGTTGACCGTGTGAATTGCACAAAATAAAATCAAAAAGAAAGGAGAAACGTTACTTTTTGAACGTACTGTAATTAAAAAGCGGTAAGCTAATTTAATGATTGGCCTCATCATTACAAAATTTCAACGATATTTGACATACACTTTACAGATATTTTTCCGACCCACGAATAAAGTGACCTGGTCACTCACTGGCTTGTAATGTCATTCAAAGTCTCTTTCGACCACTAATATGATAATTATGTAGAGACGGTGTGCATATCTTAACTGACTATAGTCATTCTCCTATTCGAACGATTATAAATATTTATGATATTCTGAAAATTAATTTGAACATCACTGCTTTATGCCTTTGGGGCATAGTGTTGTTAAAGATAGAACTCTGTGGAATAAAGTTTATACTAATGGCGATTTTTATGCTTCCAATATCATTCTGAACGACATTGAATTCTAGATTTTCACGTAAATCATTTTGAGTTCTCTTCATCTTACCAACAAACCGCTGGAAATTTTTGCCAAGGACTTCAATTAGATATTGAATCTCTACTACTACTTTATACATATGCCTTCGTGTCTTTTGTCATTGGGTTGGCGCACAGAAAACGATGACCTGCTTCCCAACCAGTTTATTCTAGTGATTATCGCACGATGGTTCGTCATTACACTAAAGATCCTCATATTTTATTGTCAAATGCCTCAAATAGTAGATTAGTAAAAAAATTCGTCTATTTTATATGGTAAAAAAATTGGATTTTGAAACGGTGTGCTACATGCTTAGTGGAAAACGCATAGATATAGGTATTACTTCATACTATTCAAAATATTTTTTAGCGCTAAAAGTCGTTAATAACATAGTAATGTGTGTCAAGCATTTGAGGTTATTTTAAGCAGCATGCAAAAAAGGGGCAAAGCATAAAAATTGCAACAACAATAAATTATAAATGCTTTCAATCTTGCAACTCCAACCAGCAACTGCAAACATAACGAGCACTAACACAATACCAACACTAACAACGAGATTTATATATATCGTCCCTGTTGTTGTGAGAGTGAAAACATGAATTAACACCTACCTGTGGGCTCACTTGAAATTGCTGAATCGGATAGGCGACGACGCCGGCAGCTTGCGGTATCCCAGCACCAGGTACGCCCGTCGCCAACTGTTGTGCAGGTGAGATTTGCGCTTGAGTGGCAACGCCTTGCCAAGTGGCGGGAATCTGTACACCCATGCTGTAGAAGCGGAAAGAGAGGGAGACATCTGATTAAAATGTTTGTTTTTTCATAATTGTTCGAATTAAAAAAAAAAAAAAAATCCAAAAAGTATCAAAAAAATTTTATTTTTTTAGAAATAAAGTTTTCAACACGTACATAATCTATTGTTTTCGTAGTCGTGATTTGGCCAACTTTTAATTTTACTATGCACAATCGCAGCCATCACATATTTTATGGTACACAGCGTTAGTATGTAGACAATTCTGCTACCGCTAACGAATACCATTTTTGTCCAACTTATTTAGAGATTTTAGTTTTTGTTTGTATATATAAATTTATGTGTTTGGTTTTTTGTTGTTTTCACTATCGCCATTGGCTATATCTGCTGTTGACGCTGTAAACACAAACAGATGCAATCAACCAAAGTGTCAGCAAGAGTTACAGCCACAACGCTAATAGCGGCGAAAAGTGCATACAACAACAAATACGAGCAAATGGCGAATAAAATAAATTCACCAAGCGAAAGTTTAGCTGTTATTGCAGCAGCGAATATGCTTGCACACATACACAAACAAAACACTATATTGTTTTTCTAGTTGGTGCACGTCGGTCGGTATGTCGCACTGTGCGTCAATAGCAGCTAGTAACAGGTTCATATTTTTTTTTAATTTTGTGGCCTTAAAATAAATATTATAAAAAAATAGTAAAATTTAATTGCGAACTGGTCCCGAATTTATGCTTTCCATCGAATTAACTTTTTTGTTTTCATTTTTAAGGGGTTACATGGGTTTACGGGTTTGAAAAAATTAACTCTTCTTTTTTATTAAATTTTACAACAACTCTAAAATATTGTGCTAAATTCGTTAGTTGATAAGAATAATAATTTCGGAGATACAGCCCTCAGAACTTGTGCGTTCGAAGCTACCTTTCCTTAAACGCTTTTTTCTCAAAACTATGTTTTTGAAATCGGTTGGCATATTTTTAGAGAACTACTCCACCGATCTTCATGCAATTTTACACAGATCTTTGAGATAAAATTCTTAAAATACAACTATTTGAAAAAAAGTATGACAAGATTTTCAATGATATTTAAATTTTTTTTTTTTTTTTTTTTTTTGTAAAAAACCTATTTGTTTGGTTTCCTTCGTTTAAGTTCTAAGGTAAAGTTTTAACAAAACACGTATTTTCTCACTTTAGATTGTCCTGTAAAGAGTTATCTTGCCAACGCGTGCGCACCTTTCTTCCAAGGGGTCATCGGAATTGGCCGAGTTTATAATATATTTTTCCACAAAAAGTTTTTGAATTTTTTTTTTCATAGAATTTTTTTTCTACTATAGAACTTTTCTCACATATCATGAGGTATATCGTGGAGTTTAAATACAATTTTTTTCGGATTTTTTTGATGGCATCTGTCGGAGAAATACCTGTGTGAATGAGATGCGTTTTTCACTGGCGGACACAATTTCTCATGTTTGAATCATTTAAAACACAACAACCCTAATTGTTCTTAAAAAGTACAGGAATGGTTATCGTCACTATTAGAATCATGAAAAAATGTTGATAAATTCAAAAGTAATTTATTTTTTTTTTTAAATTTT